GTATAATCACATCGATCTAATACTCTTTTAAATTCTGCTCTACTTCATGTTTTAAATGCACATATTTCAAAATGTGATGCAACAGTATCAGCATTTTAAGGCAATTCAATAGAAAAAAAGCAACTGAAAAACTGCAAATAAAGTTTTGTCAGTTTCTACTTTATTTTAATGTATTCCTTTTTCAGATATCCAGTTAAGTGCTTTTGGCTAGCACTGTCCGAGTGGTAGTTTAAAGAGTATTGAATCAGACATGGAGGCCAAGGGGTGAATTCCGAACTCTCTATATGTTTTACTCCTTTTACAACTGTGTTAAAATGTGTGTGTAAGGTTTCTGACTTACTCAACAAATGTTATACAGCTGCACACATACAGGCGCTCTTTGGTTTTCCTTCAGGTATTGATTTCCTCGCTTCCCTCTGTCTGTCCTATAGTTTTCCATCGTCAGTCACTGGGCTGTAGAAACTGGATGACTATGTATCAGAGTGATAAAGTGTGTATGGTTTGTGTGAGCGTGTGGTGGGAAGAGAGCGGCTTGCAGAGACACAGACCGCGAGAGGAATCAGTCACACCTGGATGCAGGTGGAGTGCTTGCAGTCCATTTATTCTGACAGGCCGAGGGGCTGAGGAGGGGGCTCAGTAACATGCTCTGTTGCAGACAACACATGTACGATACACACTGACAGAGAAAACATGCATCAATGACCTATGTCAACTAGTGTTCACTCTGAATATATGAAGTTGGTGAGTCCCAGTGGTAGTTTTGTGTCCTGCAGTTTTGAGTCCTGTGGTAGTTTTGTGTCCTGTCCACAGAGCTGATGAATTAGCAAAGTATATGAGTCACAGAATAATCCCCCGTGGCCGACAGTCTGAACCCTCAAGAACGAGCACATGCCTCTGTGGAAGACTGACATACACATGCCTCAAATACCCCACTCTGCATGACTGCTTGACAGGTCTTAGCTGCTTTAGCGAGATTGATCCCGGAATGATTTATCATGAGTCAGCGTGCGTCTCATGTATAGGAGGGCTGTGTGTGTGTGTGTGTTCTCATGTGTGGGTTTGCTATGATGATGCCAGTGGTTTGGTGTGTGTGTGTGAGGTTTAGTGGGTGGTTATGGTTCAGGATGAAAGGTGAAAGATTCCAAATGGCTGCATTTGGTATTTGTTAGCACTCCCACACTCCCCCTCTCTCTCGGTGAAATCCAAACCTTATTGCTCAAAGTGCAGTCATCGTACACAGCCGTTACTCTTTAAAGTGTTCACAGGGTCTAAGGAAACATTATCCATCTGTGCACCTTTACATTCAACTCGTACTCCATCACTCAGGCTCCACTTTTTAGAATTATTCATACACATTTAAACCTTTCATAACAGCAGCAAGGTGTGTTTTTGCGAGGTGCTGTCAAATTTCCTTCAAAGAGACACGCATTAGCTTCACCAGCATTTCCAGCTCTTTTCTCGTTTCTCCTTTAACATTTGCCTACTTCAGAGTAATGCTAAAAAAATGGGCTGGGTTAACACAACGGGCCCTTTAAGTCATTAGCAAGAGTATTAATGAGCCCGGTGCTTAGAAGCCCCCCTGCAGACTGGAGAGTGTGTGATGTAGTGGGGATGAGGGCACTAATTCTCCAAAGTGCCCTAATAAGTAGAGGATTAGCAAAGCCTTCCATTAGCCAAAGCCTTGATGATGCTAAGCTAATATGCAGTAGCGAGGACATGAGTGAGTCGGCTGAAGCGCTAGTTAGCATGACGGCTATGGAATCTGGATAATGTAGCTTATGATACATGGAGCTCAGTTATTCAGAGAAATGCAGCCTCACACACACAAGCATAAAATACAGTCATTCTTAATGCAGACAAGTTGAAATAAATCCACAGGTGTAGCCTCTGACATCAGGATACTTATGCTCAAATACTGAGGTGGCGGTAGATGGAAGGTGAAACCTGGGTTCATTGGTTAAAGAATAATGGCCGTGACTAAGCACTGTGCTGACACTTAGTGGAGTTTAATCATATATTGTTACGCTTTAATTAATTCCTCAAATGTAGACTTGCACAATGTGTAGTGCAATTGAAACTGATTTTGCTTCTACTCATTAATCATCTGCATCAATGCATGAGGAAATGGTTGCCTGAAATAACCCTTAAGCTTTTGCTGAAAACGAAAATCATTCTTCGCGAACTATTGCCAGTTAACTATAGACAGGGTTTTGTGTCCATATATTTATATCTATTGCCTCCTAATTAGATTTATGTCATTGATCCAAGTGATAACTGCAACCATTTTGCTGAGGTCCTGGATGGACCAGCTCCATCCACGCTTTAATTCTCTGCATTAAGCTTCTTTTGTTAACTAAAGTAGGCTGCACAGGGCAAGAATATTGTCACATTAAATTAGTTTTAGGGCAACGACTTTATGTAGCCCTCCAAATTAAATCTCTAAATTATACTCGAACTTTATTAAACAAACAACAAATGCAAAGAACCAGTGTGTCATAAATTGTAACACAGACAAACATGCTGGGGTTCGGTATGATTTATGAAACTTACAAAGCACTTTAAAATCCAACACATCAGGATTTTATTAGAGCTTTTTTTTATGGATACCGTAAACTGTATATAAGGGTTTGTAAATGTAACTCCGCTTCCTCTCACTAAATGAAGCCAAAATAACCTGGATACGAATCCGGCCATCAAAGACCCGCGGTATTGAGGTCTCACCGATGCATGCGCTTGACCAATCATGAGTCAGTCTCAGCTTTCAATCACAATTTTCCCCCATGGTTGTATTGCACCAAGTAACTAATTCAAACCAAACTTTGACGTGGATTTTGACTCTTCAGTTTGATGTATGTCCCATCTACTAACACTGAGGAGAAGGTATTTACAACCTTTATTGTATCAGCCACCAGGTGGTGATCAAGATGCTTTGGCTTTACTTTTGAGGGGCGGTCATGACGTCCATCTATGGTGGACACAAATTAATATGGGAGATTTGTATATCGCACATGTCATAAATATATCAGAACTCTCTCTTTCTTTCTTTCTATCTCTCTCTCTCTCACACACACAGTTTTATTCTTCTGTTTTATTATTTTTTGTAAGCACCATGACTCTCCTCAGGCTTTTCTTTCTTGGAATGTCTGCCTTCATCTCTGCAGTGTCAACAGATTAGTCTCTGTGGCATTATACAGGCTCCCTGTGTGTTTTAGATTGGGCTTTTTGTGTATGTATCTGTGTGTGTGTACACTGTACTCTCTTTAAGTGTTTTACTCCACCACTTTTCGGTGCAACGGTTTTAGTCTGCTACAAGTGAAGCGAACACCTAAGTCTGGTGCTGAAGTGAAGGACGAGCAGCGAAGAGCCACATGGGAACAGAAGTGAAGGATGGAGTGAGGATCAGGATGAATGAGGGCTGGTAAAAGGGGGCAAGAACATAAGGGCAAAGTGTGGGTGGTCATCAGGGTAAAAGCATTGGAAAGTCCAATGGTGGGAGGCAGAAAAAAAAATGAAAAAGGAATGGAGAAGCGATGAATCAAAAAATGGTTGGAGTAAGGGAATGGTGGAGGACAGATGGATGCTTGTGTTGCCACAAGGGTAAACAAAAGATGAGGGAGAAAATGGTGACTAAAGATGGTGGGAGGAAGAGGAAAGGTGCTGAAGAAGGGATGTTAAAATCATGTGGAAGAGGAAGGCAGATGACTCCAAAGTGAGGACATTGCACGGCATTATGTGGCGCTGTTAGGCAAATAAAATGAAAATCACTGCAAGACTGCCGCTCTGAAGTGATTGGGGCTGAAAGGTAAGCACTCAGGGGGGTTGTTTTAGACAAGAGAGGAGATAACAGCGGAGAGGGTGGAGAGGGTAGGAGGTAGAGGTGATTTTGATGCCACTAGAGGCCTGGGAAAAGATGAAAAGAGGAAAAGGAGGTGAAATAAGCACAGATAGTGTCTCAGAGCTGAGGAGCGTTTAGGCAGCACGGCACAAACAGCCAGAGGTTTGTGGATCGTCCTGTTTGGAAAGAAGGGAACATTTTACAACATGGTTTTCTGTTATACTACATCTTTGACACCACTTTTTTATGGATGGAAACTTTGATAGCTTTCTATATAAGACTGCTTTATATATTGTATTATTGTCCAGGAAGTAGCCTGGAGGTCAATTAATAATGTGGACTTTTGCACTTCTGTGTTACACTTCAGCCTTGAGGCTTGACTTGTATTCAATAGCTGGAGGAGTGCTTGCTGTCAGGTTGCTTTTGTGATAATGTCAAATTAAAATTTGATGGAACGTTTAAATGGTTTAAATGGAAACGGGCAGAAACATTGGTCATTGTTCTCTGACTGTATTCTAATATTAGACGGGTAAAAAGAAGAATACGTGTTCTGCACCAAGTGTTTTAGTGATGGAGTCATCTTAAAGGTGGCCTTTGCCTCTGTGTCAATAAATGTTTAGTATTGTTTTATTTATATTTTATAGGAACATCACACCCTGAAGACCAACAATGTTTGATATATACTTTTATCATGTCCAGGGGTAAAATCAGCCTCGAGCTTGAAATGAGAATCTCAATAAATGAGAGTCTTTGCATGTAGCACACAATATACTCCCATCCTGCTGCCATCTATCTTTACCTACTGTATTCTCATGCCTCTCTACTTCAAGTTACCACAGAGCAGGTTGTGTATGACTCTAACAGCTTTGGTTCTCAAAATAACAATGTACGAAGCAATATCTCTGTCTTTTCAGTTGGTTCTGCAGTGTGGTGACCTGTAGAATATGAATTATTTTCCTTGCTACACTCTTAGCACAAATAATTACTTTGATCAAAAATGACTTGGTGTTACCCTTAGTTATATCAGATATTTTTTACTGTGAGTGCTTACTGACAAAAAAAAGAGTAGTAGAACCATTGCCTTTGTATGATTTACAGAATGACCTATTCCTCTTCTGTTTTCCTTCTTCCTTCTTTCTCTGCTGCCTCCTTCTCCTCCATCCAGCCTGCGAGCTGATGAACCGTGGTATCCTGGCCCTGGTCAGTTCAATCGGCTGCATGTCAGCAGGCAGCCTTCAGACTCTGTCCGATGCCATGCACATCCCCCACCTCTTCATCCAGCGTTCTCCAGCAGGGAGTCCCCGCTCCGCCTGCCCGCCCACCGGTCGTGTCCCTGGAACCGATGACTACACCCTAATGGTCCGCCCACCTGTTTATCTGAATGAGGTCATCATGCAAGTGGTGTCTGAGTATAGCTGGCAGAAGTTCATCCTCTTCTATGATTCTGATTTTGGTAAGAAAACACTTTAGAAATCTCTTATTGAAATCAGTAATAATTACAAAGAAGAATTTATCCAACATCAATATCGTCACATCAGTGAATTCGTAGCACTGTTAGGACCTCAGAGAGCAAACAGGCGTATACGCTCTCTTTTTCTCTGTGTATGGCAAATGAACACAGACAAACATTCACATACAGACATGTGCATGCATATTCATAAACACTGAAGGAGGGGCACACATGCATATGCATCCGTATACATCTTTATGCTTTTGGAACATCAGTCTGCCTGTGTGTGTATGCTGTCTCATTTTGCCCTCCTTCTGTGTCTCTCTCTGTCTCTTCGCCCCCTCTCTTTCCAGTCCATTAACTTGAACATTACATGAGAATAACTCTGTCCTTTTATATAGTGCCACTCTGTTCTTTTAGTCTCTTAGCTGCTTTCTGCAGAAATGTTGTTTTGCTGTTATCCAAGCTTGTACACGTGTATTCAAAAACACATGTGTACTTTATACATGTGACACTAAGGCATGTTCAACACACTTTATTGTGTCCTCTTTGTCCTTCAACACCTTTACATCATCACATTCCTGTTATACACAGAAGTGGTGTTTCAAACTTACTCCCTCACACAACCTGTTCACTCCATTATACAGTCTCGACCCTTTATAGCTCTGGGTTGTGCCTCACATCCATACGCCTGCACTGTACTGGGTGCATGTGCAGCACGTGATGGCTGTGTCCCTGATCTGCTGTGTCTTGCCCACGTCTGTCGTTCATGCAGGGAGAGCGTCTGCTGTGGAGCTGCTACATGACGTTTCTGCTACGACAACTGTATTCGCTCAAAAAAAAGTAGCTTATGTACTCAAATACATACCAAGAATCTACCAGTCTATCTTCCAGTCCTGCAAATGTTAAAGAAGTGTTAGTAATATATTGAACAGATATACATTGAAACTGTGGTGAAACTGTATTTTGCTATGAACTATACATGGCACACAGAGAAATTTGGAGAGACCCCGACTGCACGAGAAGAGAGGTGCAGCTCCCATGGGTGGTGCTCTAACCTGATAAAAATGGCCACCGTGATGAAAAACAAACGTCCTGCAAAGCACATGCTCTGCTAATGCATCACGTTCAGCCCGGGCATTAGATTAATATACTATCACATTAAGATAAGGACTTTGCCACATGTTTCCCTTTATGTATAGAGCTAATTCAACTTTTTCTCAAACAGAGAAGACAATACCAGTGCACTGCATTTAATGAGCTGAAACTCAAATGCATGTTGCATTTGGAACACCTCAATGAATGCTCGATCCATCTTTACCGCTTATCCGTTTAAGGGCCGCAGGGTTGCTGAAGCCAATCTCAGCTGACACCGGGTGAAAGGACAGGCCCAGTGTTTTGGTGGCTAATGAAAAACTCAACCTGCGACATTACTCATTGGTGGGTCTGGCAAAATTATACCTAAGACTTCAAGCCAATAGAAAGCAGTGTAATAGTTTTCCACCTTTAGTATTTTAGCGTCAAATTACTGCATGTAGCCATAATGGGGCACCGTCTCTCTCATTGTGGTCAATTAACACAATTAATGCCTTGTTGCATTGATCTCCACAGTGATCTCTGGTAGTGGAGTTGTTTTGCAACGTATTCTGCAGTCACGTGAAAGTATTAACTACTGTGCTCTACCATGCAGTTAGTATCAGATGCATATTGAACAGTGGCTAATGTGGCCTTTCTGGAAACGTTTGTCCCACAGCACAGTTAATACCATAATTCAATTAAAGCAACATTTTCCTCCAATCTGCACAGTAATTGGCAGGTAACACAGCTGAGGCATGCCAAGAACCAATCCTACTCTGTGTGTCTATTACACAGAAGGTAACAACTATTGTCAGACTGAGTCATGATAAATGATTAAGCCCAGGGCAACAATGTAGTATAAGTATGTAAAAATCAAAGAAGGAATCTCCTCACATGTCGAGAAGAGGCATCATGCTGAATCTGGATCTTACAAAACCTCACCCTGATGATGGATGATGATTATTTTTAACTTCTAAATTCTGCAACACTGTTAAATCCGCCATTACTCATTTCAACTTCTTAACAGCTGCATTACAGTGACAAATAAATTCATGCCTGTTGGGGAAGAGGTTTTTACGTCAACCTTAACCTTGGCCTAATCCTCACTGTAGACAAGAGCACCATTTCCCCTCCAGACAGACAATTTCCAATAAATGTGTTCCCAAAGGTGGAATAGTTCAAACATAGTCGACCCCATCCATCCCCATTCACATTCAATCACACATGCACACACACAAACACACACACGCATGTTCTTTGCCCACTTAAATCCCTATATCCCCTCTGTGCTCTGTGACCACTGATTCAGCACATGGATCCTCTGGGTTTTGGCAGTGCTGTTCTCTCAGCCACAGAAGGCCCTTTAAAGATATCGCCATTGTTCCCTAATGGCCTCACCCAAGGAGAGAAGGGGGAAGCATGAATGTGTACGAGAGACCAGGAGAGAGAGCGAGGTAGAGAGGAAGAGGGATGGCCTTTTAAGATGTTAGCAATGTTCCCAAAAGACGTCGCCTTTGCACAAGAAGAGTTCTTCAGAGAACAGACAGCTGAGTGTGTCGTCTCAAATGAAGCTACGGTGCAACTGTCCCAATCCCTATTTTCAGCTCTACTGGTGCGTTCCGGACACTGAGAACACATGTTTTTTCTCTATTATCTCATTTTCCTTTCATAGTTTCCTTCTCTCTCTCCCTCCATCTTGCTTTCTTTTCTCTTTCCTCTCCATTTTTGCTCCCTCCTCCTTTCAGTCATCCCTCAGGTGCCTTGTACTGTAAAAGCAGATATATAATAAAAAAACACATGAGTGACACATTGCTGTTGTCGAGCAAATGTGAGAAGTAGCACTTAGTGGTAATAACACTGTTGGCATTTAGATGATTTGTTTTGTTTTGCTTTTAGCCAATGAGAAGAGAGACCCGAGGCACAATATTAAAAGGTTATAGCTGGAGTAAAGAGCCTTTTTAAAGTATGCTGCTTGTTAGGATGCCAGTCTTTTATTAGGTGAAAGTGCCCATATTTTGCAGAGACATGTAAAAATGAAACTGAAGGGAGATGATAAAAGGTCTTCGATATTGTCCGAGGTAAACATTAAATTAAAAGTTGGAGTTCTACATAGAAAATGGCAATTGTGTGAAAAGTGTTTACTCTACAGGAAGAGTTGTGTCTTTTGTGGGGATCACAAAGACAATATCTGACACGCTGTGGTGTTTAACATCTTAAAATGTTCTGTCTGTCTTTCTGTCTGTCCAAACGGGCAGGTTTAGTATGGGCACTGCACAAGTTTCCTCAACTGAGTATATTGAATCTATATATATATATTTTTTTTATCAATTATGAAATCAATATGGTAAATCTGTGTTAAACTTTAAGATACTTGTATCATTCAGGCCAAGTGTGTCATAATGCAGCCCATAGAAGCTGCAGTGTCATGGCTCTGTGCCATGTGCTCCTAGTGCTGTGGGTTGGAGTTCAGGTTGTTACCCACGATCATGGTCATTAAACACGACTCCCTCACCTCACATAGCGCCATCTAATGAAGCATGGTTATAGTTTAAAACCAAATGTCTTACCTTTAAATCGACCTCTCTCCTATCTCTAAACTCCCTCGTGATTGTGTGCTCATTAGTAATTCATGAGGTGAGAACAATGGAAAACTTCTTTACTCCACATTCTTGAAAAGTGTGGAAATGTCAACCACTGTCTCACAGGTTCATACAAAGAAGAGGAGTCAGTCCCATGTTGTGCCTGTTGGTGTTGAAGTGAAGAATTTCACCTTGTTGCCAGTTCCCATTTGTAGAGGGCATCAAAGAGAAATACCTGACAGGGAAGGTGGGATGACGTATTTAATCAGCAGAGAAAAGATAGGAAAAAGGAGAAAGAGAAAGAAAAGGGGCAGGTTATAAAAGGCCTGGGTCACTGTACGGAAATTATTAAGTGATATTATGTTGTTAAATAAGTGATAGATGTCAAATCTGATTAGATTGCAATGAGACCTTTTTAATGCTACTGCATGGAAAATCTTACTTATTTAAAATAACATATGTACAAGTGAATGCAGATAAAGTATTGAAATACAAGTACTAGTTTGTTCCCACAGAATGATATGTTTTTTTATGTGACATCATTAGATACTGAGGCATAGGTGACAAAGCAGTTTCTTGCTGGAGTGTGCTGGATGTGAAACAAGTTTCAGCTACTTAATATGTATACAGGAATGCCAGACACAGTGGAGAGATTGTAAAATCAGTAATCTGAGATAAATCTATTTTTTGTTTTTTTCACCTGATTTCCAATTTCTGATCAAATATTGGCTAATTTTAAGATTTATTATCTGAAATGTGACACAGCTTTTTTTTTTACTTCAAGAAGCCAGAAAGATTGGAAACTGCTGGTTTAATCTAGAACAATATTGTGTATAATGAAAAGTTTTTGTCAATTATTTTAAATGCAAAGCTGTCAAATAAATGTAATGGAGTAGAAAATAACATTTTTTGAAGTATAAAGTAGCAGAAAATCAGTATCTCAAAACTGTATTTCAGTGCAGGATGAGTAAATAAAGACGGCAGTAGGTAGTAAGACATCAAGCAGAGACTGGAAACAGGAAGGTGCAGATGCTTTAGGAGGATACTTTGGGGAATTTTCTTTTTGAAAAGCTTTGACTTCCAGTGAATAAGAAAAATACTGAATATAACAAACACATTGTGATTTACTAAAGAACAAACATCTTATTTAACTGATCAAGATATTACATCAGACATCTAGGTCACCAACTGTCTTATGGTTTAGGCATTCGGGAGTATTTTCAGCATATTTCAAAACAGTTTAGGTATAAACAGAAAAGCAGAGAAATCATATTTCTTTCCATGCATCAACTTGTAGAGTATAAAATATCACAAATATTGTTAAAACTCTGTTTGATATATTTTTTC